TATGCAAAATGATGGAGTTTTTCTTTTCAAGGTTGTGAAACCGTTCTCAGAAGTTAAAACATTTCCAATGAAACTCAAAGCTTGCATATTATTCCTTTTACAAAATCCTTCAATTTTCATCAATCGTCCTAGAGAAATTGTATTAGAACTTTGGCTTGATCTATTGCCTTCAAGAGTTATGTTGATGATATTTTTAGTAAGGCTTTCCACATTAGAACTCTCTTTCGCATAAACTATGTATAGAAAAACCAAACATTATAAACCATTCAAATTATGAGAAGTTTACCAAAATAATTATGAAAAAAAATAAAACAATAGTACCATACCATATAACAATATATTACCTCCTTTTCCAAAGACTCAATCTCGTGTGCACAACAAAGTTTGAATGTTTGCAAGCATGCTCAAACCCAGAAACCTAAAAACCTCAGAAACTCCAAACCCAGAAAACCCCAGAAACCCCAAACCTAGAAAATCCTCAGCCATTAGTTTTACGAAAACCCCAAATCACTAGTTTTTGAAAAAATACACAGAATACCCAAACATACAAAATCCATACTTTTAGCGTGTGCTTGACTGTGTGTGATTTTCTTGTGGCTACCGAAGTCAAGTTGAAGATAGTGGACGGAGGAGGATGCGAGAGAGATGAGCGGATTCGAGGAGAGCGTTGCAGAGTGTTGAAGTCTGGAGAGATCAAGAGTGAATGAGAGAGGAGGATAGTCTGGACTCCAACCTAATGTACAATTGGACAGTTGAGATTAAATCTCAGTCGATCCAACGGTCATTTATTTTCTAAAATTATTTAAATATATATATAATTATTATAGTACCTTTTTAGGTGTATAAAATTATTAAATTAATATTTTACTCATCGTGTATCAGGTTACCCACTTGTATACCCGGACCAACCCGTTATCTTAATAGGTGCTTATCGGGTTACCGGATAACGACCTGATTCGTAATCGTGTCAACTCGAAAACCTGTTAATTTCATATTGGATTAATGAGTCGTGTCAAAAATTACTAGGCCTACATTACATGTTGAAAACCCTTACAAATATATTTGTCAATAAAAAAAACACAGTTCTCTCAGCCCTTGGGTCTGGCATTTATCAATTCCAAGCCCTTGAACAGTATCTCGTTGAATAATTAGAATATTAATTAAGGTGGTCTGAATATCCACATCCTAGATAGTTGATGACAATTATCGCCAATAAACAAGTTGTATCAGATGATGCCAATTTGACCAAACTATATACCCACATAAAATGTAGATGCAATCCATCCATCTTCTAATATTATTGATTTTCCGCGTGCACCGACAAACACGATTTAATTACATTGGTAAGGATCATTAATCATAAGGCAAGTAGCCTACTGCCGGCCCATCTCCTTTTATCGCTTTTGCATGTCTATTGTTTCTAGGATTGTTGATGCTGGCAAGGTTATCTTAAACATTCATCTGATTTGGACCTTTGTATATTTCTTCTATGAGTATTCAAGCTATCTATCGGAAGGTCCTAATTAGTCGTTTGTACTTTGGTCTCCTCCTTTGTTTTCTTGAGTTAAGCTTATTCATAACATTAAGAAAGTATACAATTTTTGAGGAGGATGTCCTATATTAACTTTGGAGGCTCAAACCAACAACTAGCAAAATTGAAAATTGAGACCAACTTGCCAATTCTATGTGCCACTACATTGGTGGATCTATGAACATGACAAATTCTTGAGGCAACCCACATGCTAGTTTTAATATCATCAATCAACAAACCAATAGCGGAGGAGCCACCATGCAAATTTCCAACAGCTTAGACCACATGTAGTGCATCATACTCCAAAATAATTTGCTGCCAACAAACATCATCACGTGCAGCTAAAACCCCAACCATCCTGAGATTAGTCACATGAGATATTTTACGAACAAAACCTCTAGCATAACTACTGACTTCGTTGGGACAAATCACACTGACACCCCTATAATTTGTAGCAGCACAGAAAGCGCCGTCAACCTTAATCTTGATCCAATACGATGGAGGAGGAAGCCAACGAAAGAAGAGTGAGTGGCCTAGATTGAGGGGCTAGCTGAGCTTTAATAAAATTAGAAAGGCATTCAAGTTGACTCACAAGTGTAGGGCTCAACATTAGCTCTTAATGGGTTTTTATGTGTTTAGTTGTATACCTAACCAATAGGATATAATTATCATGTAAAGATACACGAGTTGATGCCTGACCACAAATTAATTCATATATTAGAAAGAACAACCTTTAACATTGGCATGGTAATTGGATAGTAGTTGGATATAGGAAAAGTAAATAGGATTGTTGTTGGTGGATTCATAATCTTAGGTTTTCTTGTGTCGTGTGTTTATTTTAATTACTTGTCTTTCATTTTTCTTGTTAATTATAGTATTAATTAGTTATTCAATTCAATCTATCATTTGTTTGTTTAATATAGTCTAGCGTGCTTAATCGATTAAATTGGTGTTAAAGCAATCCTTGTGGGATCGACCTCGTATTTGCATATATTACTACAATTGATTTGTGCGCTTACGAGTTTAATTTGATTTAAATTAATCTATTAGTGTCTCTAGTGTACCCATACTACGACACTAATGAGGCGATAGCTCAAGCCAGGGAATCAAAGTCTCATCAAGATCCAAACACAAATGAGAGATTAAATCATATGATTGAGAATCATGTATAATGGTGATGGTCGTTAATCTCAAGGTTGCTTCTATGGATAACATATAGATATCCATTGTCAAGGCCTACTTCATAGCAATTTTTGAAATGACTACAAAAGAGGTGTCATCACTGATGACCATGCTGATTGGTTTTAGTCATAAACAAGCCCATTAGCGTCACCCCACAAGAATCAAGGCCCAAAATAGAAAACTCTCCGACTTCCGATCCCTTAAAATTATGCACCAAAATCTCTCATTTCTTGTTCCAGAAACATGGGGAGTTTGGAACTTGAAAACCCGATTTCTTCTCAGGTTCTTGCTCTTTCTGCTCTTCTTTGGGTTCGATGATTGGGTCTTTTCTAGTGGGTTTGTTTCTAAAAGAGAATTTCTTTTTGGGTAACAACTCGGTGCTCAAAACCTTAAGACTCCGCCGCAAATCTGACATCGTCTTAAGCGAGGAACGAACTTCATAGGAGGGTAAGAAGTACGAGTTATAGGCGACAAGCTTTTCGAGATCAGAGATGGAGGATGAGAATTGGTCGAGATGGGATTTGACTTGAGTCGGGTCATAGAGTTGGTATTGGGCGAGTTGAGACTCAATGGAGCTTTTGAAATTGGAAAAGCAGGAGAGGAAAGTTGATGTGGACTCGAAGGAAGGGGAAGAGGACGAGTCAGACTCGGTAGATTAGCGGGTGAGTGAGTTGTCTAGACAAGTTTGGTGGCGGTTGGAGAGGCGATCGAGCATTGATTAGTGCTTTTTTTTAGGGATGGATCTACAGCTAGGAGGTTAGGGTTAGGGTTTGATGACAGAGCTACTTCTTCTTCATTTTCCATCGATGGCAGCGATGGGGTTGATTTGAGAAAACAAAAATGTGCAAAATCTGAGAGAAAAACGAGGGAATTCGATATTTGGGTTTAGCCAAATTAACAAGAGCCTTGCTTCATATGCCAATTTGTGGCACCATTCATCTTGAGAATTGATATCCGGATTTCACCTGGAGAATTAGAAACACCTCAAAATTAATTTTAAATATTTTTAATTTTCTCCAATATCTTAACGCAACTATTTCACCAAACAATATTGCTTATAACAAGTGTACTATCGAAATCTCAATCCAACAACATGAGACTTCATATTTGCAAACAGATGCAATATGTTCCTGAAACTAGCAGAGTAAAGAAGACCCATTTACAGAAAGGAAGTTAACTGACTCGAACAGGAACTCACAAGATGCGGACTACCATCAAGTCATTTTCACCATCTTAAGAGCGCCAAAGCAAGTTCCCAGAGAAAGGGTTGTGGCAGGGGAAACATAAAAATCTCAATCGAAAACAATGAATTATTTTCCTAAACGAGAACCTTACAGAATCATAACGCAAGTACTTCACTTTCTACTCATGAAAACCAACTGAAAGTGGTTAATCAATTGAGAACTTAAAAACAAAACGAAAGAAAGTGTTGATTTATTAAACATGAATACTAGCAATCTAAGAATATGTTTTCCTTTCCACTAGATTTCCTTGCACTCTGTTAAACTTTAATCTTAAATAAAGGGAGAATACAAAATGTACGCTAAAGCTCATAAAGGGGAGCAAATGTGTAGTCAATGCTAACAAGCAAACATAAATTGTAGATCAAGTTACATGCGCATCAAGTATGTAAAAATCTGTCATATATGTAGCACCATTTCAATGAGAACAAAATACAGAGACAGGGATTAATCCCAAGAAGGTAAGGAAATCTAAAGGGGCTCTTACTATTCATGCTCCCCCGTGAAGTCCAGCACTACCACGTGGGTGTCTTTTACACCCTTTATTCCAATCTAATTGCATTCTCTTAAAATAATATGCAAATATACACATGCAGCCTCAATCAGTTTGAGAAAAATTGTCTAATATAATTGAAAACGTTAAATGAATCATCTGAATTCTTTCCCCATTGCTAAACATCTATTTGTAATTTTGGGATTCAAACTACAACTTACCTTAGTTATCAGCTTACTAAAAAAAAAAAAAAAAAGGTCGTACCCAGTGCACAAGGCTCCCGCTTTACGCAGGGTCTGGGAGAGGTGAATGTCGGCTAGCCTTACCCCCATTTTATGGAGAGGCTGCTCCCAAGTCTCGAACCCGAGACCTACCGCTTATGGACGAAGGCACTTGCCATCGCACCAAGTGCTGTGTCAAGAAAACAAAAGTTTATATAACTTGAGACTTCACTTTTACATGTCTATAATGTCAACCGATAACAACCCACACAGACACCGCATATCATCAAACTCACAGCTGAGGAAAATACCTTATAAATCCAGACCCCGCAGATAAAATTGAAACTGACTAGGAATGTAAATTCATATAACCATAGGCTTAAGTAACAGGACACTAGTCAGTAATCAGAATGCAAGAGAAACCAATAGACTCAACATTTCCGTAATCCATATCCATATTGACACCAAATACAACAAAAGAATGTTACCCTTGTACACCAAGCACACCCTAGTGACAAACAAAATGGATAACAGACTAACTCTACACGGACCTTGAAATATCAACCAAACCAAGTCTCTCATTCTCTGGCAAAACAGACCAATTGGGCGACTGAACTGCCCGCAACCATAGGAAATCATCCACGTTGCTCCATTTCTCTGTCTCTTCGTCAAGACTGGCCTCCCTAAGCTCTTCCTCTATTCCTTTATAGGTCAAACAGTACGGCGCAAACCTCACCCCACAACTATCCTCAATTATTGGCCGGCTCCTCACCCTCAGATAAAAATCACTCATTTTCGCATTGTGAATCCGAATTTGATGGGAGGCCATCACAAAAACACACCCTTCAACACCATCAACCAAAACTGAACCCGTCACAGGGCCAGTATAAAGCCTGCAATTCCTTAATCTATGAATAAAAAGCGCTCTCACGGAGCCCATTAGCCTCACCTCACAGGAATCAAGGTCCGAAATCGAAAACTCTCCCACTTCCGATCCCTTAAAATTATGCACCAAAATCTCTCCTTTCTTGTTCCGGAAACCCGGAGAGTCTGGAACCCGAAAACCCGATTTCTTCTCAGGTTCCTGCTCTTTCTCCTCCCCTTTGGGTTCTGCAATTGGGTCTTTTCTGGTGGGTTTGTTTCTGAAAGAGAATTTCTTTTTGGGTAACAACTCGGCGCTCAAAAACTCAAGACTCTGCCGCAAATCCGACGTCGTCTTGAGCGAGGACCTAACTTCATAGGAGGGTAAGAAGTACGAGTTCTCGGCCACGAGCTTCTCGAGATCGAAGATGGAGGAGGAGATTTGGTCGAGGTGGGACTTGACTTGAGTTGGGTCACAAAGCTGGCATTGGGCGAGTTGGGACTCGATGGAGCTCTTGGAGTTGGAAAAGCGGGAGAGGAAAGTTGATGTGGACTCGAAGGAAGGGGAAGAGGACGAGTCGGACTCGGCGGATCTGTGGGTGAGTGAGTTGTCTAAACGAGTTTGGTGGCGGTTGGAGAGGCGGTCAAGCATTGATTGGCGCTTCTTTTGGAGGGATGGATCTGCAACTAGGAGGTTAGAGTTAGGGTTTGATGACAAAGCTACTTCTTCTTCATTTTCCATTGATGGCAGCAATGTTGATTTGAGAAAGCGAAAATGTGCAGAATCTGAGAGAAAAATGAGGGAATTTGGTATTTGGGTTTAGCCAAATTAACAAGAGCCTTGCTTCTTATGCCACTTTGTGGCACCATTCATCTTGAGAATTGATATCCGGATTTCACCTGGAGAATGAGAAACACCCCAAAATTAATTTTAAATATTTTTAATTTTCTCCAATATCTTAACACAACTATTTCACCACACAAAGTCGAATAGTTAGAGATCATATCATTTTCTTCCTTGTTTCGTAATGAACAATATATCAAAAGGTCACACAATCTTTTTAGCGAAAAAACAATCACATAATTATTGCTTATGTCCGTACAATTCACATATCTCAATTCTCATACTCATAATGTTATAGCATACATACTATTCTTCTTCTTCTTTGACATAAAATGCCAAAAGCACTCGCATTTATCAATCAACACTTACATGAACAACATGCCAACAAAAAATTGACTTGAAAAACCCCGCTGTCAAATGTTTTATTATTTTGCTGATGTGATGTGCTCAAAATAAATGGTTAGATTGGCCCAAGTGTTACGTTTTTCATGTATAAACTGATAATGTTGGAGGTAGTGTCACAATATATACCAGATAAGCAAACAAAATCAACAAAAACCCAGAAAAGCAGCTCACAAATGTAATTATATGAATGCAGGAGGTCTCGACATCTTACTTGATAATATCAGACTCATGTCGATGATCTTGACGAACTCTTTATGATACAAAAAAATCACTCTTTTTCTTTATATACAACTCAGGCCAGAAAACACTAAAACACAATCCCTAAATCCATCTGAATCAGATGTAAAACAAATTCGAATATAATTGTCTATATTCAAAATAAAAAGAATCTATTTGTTTGGAGCAAATGAAATTGTAGTCCCCATGTGAAATTTCTAACCGTTAAATTGGATTAGACAAAATCATGAAATTTTTTTTCAGAAGCCCAATTATATTAAATCACAAATTTGAAGCCGATTTTGACATGCAATAGGTCAATAAGGTAGGAATCGTTTCAGACTAACCTTGATGGCGTGCGATGGAGGTATCATCCAATTACCGTCGGAAAGCTTGAATCCGAACAAAGCTCCAAGGTTATAGGGAGATGTTGTTGATGTGAAATCCAACATGCACAAGGTTGAAGCAGAGGAACTTCAATTTGAAAGATCTGGAGTAGAGTGGCTGCTTGGTGAGGAGAAGTCGCACCAAGTGAGCAGGGGTAAAACAGGACGACGGCCAGGCAGGAAGAAATCTGGAGGAAAGAGATGAGTGCGGGGCCTTTTTGTCTGTGTAAAAACATAATAATGCAAACTTAGCAGGGGTAAAACAGGAAGAACACTGTGCTTATGAACAATGTTTCAGAGTGTTTTGGGTTTTAGTGTAGATTAAACTAGCAAAAATGCCCATGCTCCGCAGCGGGTTTTGAAACCTTAACCACAATTTAACACATCCATTTCTAAATAATTCAAAAAACAATTGAAGCAGATAAATCCACATGGTAAAATAAGTCTTTAAATTGTCAAACTCGATCTCATCTGCAGTTGTTTCAACTATATTCAAATCACTACGGGAAACGTGTTCATTTATTTATTTTTGGTCTTTTGTTTTGGGCTTGAGAAATTTTTTTAAGGCCAGCCATATCAGAAGTGCGAAAGTCACGCTTTTGTTGCATGACCAAACTTTACTTGGAAGAGCTTTCAAGCAACATATGTGCATTATCAGCATGACAAACATTTTCATTGAACATTTCTATTCCATTTGAAGAGTTAGGAGTATGATCTTCTTGTGTTGCCTGATTTCTTTTGCTATATCTTGTTCTTTTTAGATCATGTGCAAAAAATTAAAATGCCAAACAACAGACTGATAGCTGGCAAGTAATAAAATGAAACGTGCATAAATTAAATTGTAAAATATTCATAACTCCTAAATTTAAATTAAATAAAGGAAATACATAATAATCATATCACATTCACAAAAGCAAGGATTTTAAAATGCTATGAAATTGAAATACTATGGATAGTTTTTTATTTTTTTATTTTTTTTCAAGTATATAACTAACCTGTAAGAACAGCAGTTATTATCACTTCCAAAGTTTTTTTTTTTTGTCAAACACTTGCAAAAGATTGATGCAAGCAAAGGAACACTGCCTCTGTACTTGGAACGGAAAGCCTGCAAGAAATTGAAACAGTGATGTTAGGATATCTCAAGTGCAGATAATGGGCAACATTATGCAATCCCAAAATGACATAAGTAAACAACCACTACCCAGATTAACAACCCATTTCAACTCCCAAAATTACACACAAATAACTAAAATGTCAAGCAAACACAACGAACCAACATTCACAATTCTCTTCAATTCCCAAACATGCTCATAGATTAATAAACTGTCACTGAAACAATAAGGAACCAGCGAAATCTTGTTTAACTCAGAGTGAGAAATTGTTACGAATAACAGGCAACATAACGGTTGAGAAGAAAAGAAAAGGGAAAAATCCACAAAAACGAAAAAAAGAAAACACTTGTAAAAGTAGTCCTCCCTCTAGCTAGATGGCCATTCCTGATTCTCTTTTCCTTTTCTGCTCAAACTTAACATGAATAAATGACCATTTTTTCATTTTCTTTGTCTTTCTTTATAGAAAGTCAAAACAATTTTTAATGAACGGCTTTAACTGACCATATTAATCAATTTCCCAACTGTAAAACAACAATAAAGAAAATAAAAAAAAAATAGAAAACAACTGGCAAGAAACATTGTTTTAATAAATGACAACAGTAGAAGGAACACGAAAATGGGGATGTATGTAGCCTCCTCTCTTTCAATCCCACCTAGTGATCCCCTAAAAACTATCACTTCAATGTCATATTTCTGAATAAATAAGTTATTTTTCTTTGCAGGTGTTATACCATAGGACCATTATATTTGGTTTTGAATAAGTAAGTTATTTTTCTTTCCATTTTTTTTGTCACTTGTAAAGATAGGAAAGGGCTAATATTAGGTTACTAAATCAGTATTTCTACAGCAATTTAACTCATTTCCAAAAGCTAGCAGCCGAATTTGTCAATGAAAACCAAATTCCAATCCAAAATCAAAAGCCAAAAATTGTCAAAAAATCCCATTTAAAAATAATAGCACACAAAGAAAGTTGTACTTTTAGCGTTGTTTATGAAAAACTCAGTATACAACTATATATTCCACACGAATTTGTGTAAAAAGACTTGCCTCGGGGATGAAGTACTCCGTCCTCTTACACACCTATGCCAAAATCTCTATCAGGCAACTTTTCCAACCCTGTAGAAGCCAATATACGAAGGTAATCATTCAACACAGTTACATTCACCTTATTTGAAGGATATGAAAATGATTTCTTTTTTTTAACTAATAATACAATATAAATAACCATTACCCAATTTCAATATCCATTTCAACTCCCAAAATTAGTCAAAATTTACTAACATTTCAAGCAAGAAGAACGAAACAAGCGTAAAATAAATGGAGCATATTTTGTTCACCATAAAACTGTAATTAACGGTTTTTTCAGTCAAGTAGGGAGCAGAAGAAGAGCTTAATCTAAACCATTCAAGCAAAGAATAGGAACAAAAATAATCTAAACCATAGTCTTCTTCCTGTCATTATGTTTACTAACTCATACTGTGTACAAAAACTAATCGCTTAAGATATGACTTGAAAAAAATTCACACGCCTACTTAAAACACATAAAGCATCAAACTTTACTCAATCAGAAATTTATATCGTATACGCTTGCTTATTACTGATTAACCATTGAAAGAAAAGCTTTGAGTTAAGCAGATGCCATTGTCTTCTTCCACTTCCTTAAAACAACCACAAACCCATGTCGATATGGATTTGGGAAAAAAGAAATTTCAAAATCTAATCATCAAAATTTTTTACTTCCTATGTTCTTGGGGATCATCACTATTTTCTTATCTTGAATTTGAACACACTCGAAACTGAATTTCAAAACTGCAAACTTAAATCAACTCTCTTAGTTTTAATCCAAAAATACTTAACAAAAAAATACAATTTAATCCAGAAATTAAATTAATAAAAAAATACACACTCACACACAATTGCTGGGAACTTTTCCAAAATTAATATACAAGCAAAATATGTTGAGAGAGAAGCAAAAGCTTATACCTCCGAGAAAGAGAGTGTAATCAGAAAGCAAGCCGGAAAATAAAAAAAATTACACATTACTAAATTTCTTGTTGGGGTTTATCTAAAAAAGGATAAGCGGGTGATGATTACAACAACAACAACAACAACAAAGCCTTTTCCCACTAAGTGGGGTCGGCTATATGAATCCTAGAACGCCATTGCGCTCGGTTTTGTGTCATGTCCTCCGTTAGATCCAAGTACTCTAAGTCTTTTCTTAGAGTCTCTTCCAAAGTTGTCCTAGGTCTTCCTCTACCCCTTCGGCCCTGAACCTCTGTCCCGTAGTCACATCTTCGAACCGGAGCGTCAGTCGGTCTTCTTTGCACATGTTCAAAATCACCGGAGCCGATTTTCTCTCATATTTCCTACAATTTCGGCTACTCCTACTTTACCTCGGATATCCTCATTCCCAATCTTATCCTTTCTCGTGTGCCCACACATCCCACGAAGCACCCTCATCTCCGCTACACCCATTTTGTGTACGTGTTGATGCTTCACCACCCAACATTCTGTGCCATACAACATCGCTAGCCTTATTGCCGTCCTATAAAATTTTCCCTTGAGCTTCAGTGGCCTACGACGGTCACACAACACGCCGGATACACTCTTTCCATCCAGCTCGTATTCTATGGTTGAGATCTCCATCTAATTCTCCGTTCTCTTGCAAGATAGATCCTAGGTAGCGAAAACGGATCGCTTTTTGTGATCTTCGCTAGATTGCTCCGGTCATTAGTGTGGATAAGTATATAAATGGATAGAGATAGGAAAGCAAAAACACAAGATGTACGTGGTTCACCCAGATTGGCTACGTCCACGGAATAGAAGAGTTCTCATTAATTGTGAAGGGTTTACACAAGTACATAGGTTCAAGCTCTCATTTAGTGAGTACAAGTGAATGATTTAGTACAAATGACATTAGGAAATATTGTGGGAGAATGATCTCGTAATCACGAAACTTCTAAGTATCGGAGTGTGGTGTCGTCTTGACTTGCCTTATCTGTCTCATAGGTAGATGTGGCATCTTCTCTATGGAAGTACTCTTCCTCCATCCAGGGGTGGTATCTTTAACTGGTGGAGATGCACAAGGTAATGTATCAATTTCACTTGAAGCTTACTTGTAGTTTCAGGCTTGGTCAAGCGCGATACAAACCATGTAGTAGGAGTCCCCCAAGTCGCCGAGCTAGGGGGTCTGCTGAAAGAGGTGACAGACAAGGTAAGCAATCAGAGCTCCGACTGATTGTTCACCTTCTCCCCATCTTGCAAGCAGCATGAAGGATAAAGAGAAGAAAAATGAGAAGAGATGATATGAGATACTTTTGCTTTTGAAGAAGTAACTTTCCACAGGCTTATTCTTGAACTGAGCTGGAGGGTTTTCTGGTTTCCTCCAGAGTATAAGGCCGACTGAAGAATTTGAGGGTCAAAACAAGTCCATCAAATCTAGAGTACGTTCCACCCTGCTGATATGGGATACTTTTGCTTTTGACAGAGTAATGGAATGTATCGGCACGTGTGCTGTTACGCTTGTCTCCACATGCTTCCTTGTATCCTTCGCACTTGCCCTATCTGTTCCTCAAGCAGATGCGGAATCTTCCCTGGAAACATAAGATGTTGAAGATGAGTACTCGAGAGCAATGCCAGGTAAGGGGTTCCAGGCAGTCAGTTCCTGGCTGGAAGCTTGATTCCAAGTGCTGACTGATTGCTCTCTTTCTCCTTGTCTTGCAGGTAAAAACAAGGCCAAAAAGAAAAGACAGGGAAAAAGCATGATATGGGATACTCTTGCTTTTAACCCTGATGATATGAGATATTCTTGCTCTAGTATAGCTTGTTTGCAGAGGTATTATCGGGGGGAAAGAAAGCTGAATATTTCGAAAGGCTTCGTTGGGAGTGCCCTCTCAGATATGATGAAGGGTTGAGCATTTTTGCAGGTCTGCCTGTCCGTTGGGGATGGAAGGTCGACATATATAGGAGTCTCCCTAACAACAAGTAGTAATGCTATTCCTTTACCCTGCTTGGTCATAGCACGGTAGTGGGAGCTGCCAGTTTCACATGTTTTTAACTCTGTCAGAGCACTTTGAAAAAGTGGTCTGTGGTATCTGGCTCTCGAGATTCGGAGAACGATGCCTCTTCGATTTTTGAGAAAGCAATCATGCTGGGGGTATGACTCTCGAGATTCGGAGAGCAGTGTCTCTTCGATTTTTGAGGAAGTAATCATGTTGGGAGTCTGGCTCTCGAGATTCGGAGGGCGGTGCCTCTTCGATTTTGGAGCAAGCAATCTTGTTGGGAGTGTTGTCTCGAATGTGAGTAAAGGTTGGGCATGTTTGCTAGTCTACCTTGCCACGAAGCACAAAGGTTGACACACAGGGACTTTCCAATTATCCAGCAATGGTACTGTTCCTTTACCCTCTCTTCGATTTTGAGAAAGTAGTCATGTTGGGAGTCTGGCTCTCGAGATTCGGAGGACGGTGCCTCTTCGATTTTGGAGCAAGCAATCTTGTTGGGAGTGTTTTCTCGAATGTGAGTAAAGGTTGGGCATGTTTGCTTTGCTAGTCTACCTTGCCACGAAGCACAGAGGTTGACACACAGGGACTTTCCAATTATCCAGCAGTGGTACTGTTACCCTTGTGGGTAATAATATGGTAGCTAGACCTTCAAAATTTATGTGTCTAAACTTTTGTTAGTGCTGTTTCTTTGCTATTCTTTTACCTTTCTTGGTCAGAGCGATGTAGTGGGAGCTGCAAGCTTCACGTGCTCAACTTTGGCAGAGAACTTTGGCAAAGTTATTTGTGGTACCCATGAGCTATTGTTGCGTGTGGGAAGTGGGTGATTGAACAGTAAGATTCATGTGCTTTCTACTTCACCAGAAGTCTTCGACAGAATGCCCATAATTTCTGCAAAGCTGAGTGTGCGTGTGACAGGTGCTGACAAGGCTAGAAAAGTAGGTGCCTCTTCGATTTCTGAGATCGGCCCTCGTGGTCTCTGAGCAGCCCAGCTTTTGAGA